TATATATATGATTTTGCCCTTATTAAAGAAAAATACGTTTATTTAAGGGCAGACTCTTGTTGATTCAGGTAGTCCTGACCTTGCTGCTGTATGTTCAAACTTTTGCTTTTAATTTGTTTAAGTGTAGTTTGTTATTTTATGCTTAAAAGAAAGGAAATGTGACGCATCACTGTGTGTGGGAGAGCAGGCTGGATTTAAAGCTCTACATCTGGCTACAAAAATACAGCATGGCAGCTTTCATAAACTGTGTACTGCTGACTTCAGTTCCCAACAATGAGAGATGATTGAGACATTTGGTCTAATATTTTAATATATGTCGGTGGTGCAAATCCTCATTTGAAATACAGACAAGAATCATGCTTTCATGTTTTCTGAAAAAAGGAATGGAAGAACATGAAGGACGACTTAGAAGGACAGCACAGAGAGAATGATTTTTTTACATACGTATGTCCATATCAAATATAATGCAAAATAATAATAGTTTTCTACAAACTATATATTACTTTATTATCTTTAAGTGATTATGTATGAGATACATATTGACTAACCCTAACCATAGGGAAAGAGTTGATTAAAAAAGGTAACACTTGGTTAATTTACACTGGAGTCCAAACGGTAAACCATTGAACCAAAAAAAAGAATCACTAGAAAAGGTCCAAACTTTGCCGATTATTTTAAGAAGCCTAAACTCTGACTTTCTTCTCAAAGTCAGTAAGAGAGAGAAAAAAATGGGAGTTCAGGATGTTCACAGGCAATGGCATGCTGACAGGGCAACAACCCTTTCCTTCTTAGGAAATATTTTCATTTCAGCTCTTTTTTTTTCCCACAACAAGATGAGAGCTGAGCCTCCAGTGGTGACATCGCAGTAAAATATGACAGACAACCTCGCCCGGATCATAGGCCGAGTCCATCAAATGATCGTCAGTGCATGAGGAAATTATTCTTAGCCATAACATGCACGTGTTGGATAAAATCAAAACGACTCTAGCAGCACTGCATGTATGTTATCCAGGAGATGCAGTCAGTGCTGCTGCTCCGATCTTCTAGCTCCCATTGGCCTCTCATGGGCCACGCTGCAGTCCAATCAATAACTACTCAATTACCATGCACCCAACATCTCATTCACGCCGAACCCCTGCTGTGCCGGAGGGAAGGAGGAAGAGGAGGTGAGCACAGAAGTGACAGATGGATAGATTTGAGAATGATGAACACATGACAGCACGAGATGTTTCACTGGTGCACAAAGTCAAAACTCAATGTCAGAGAAAAAGCAGGCATAATGAGATTTAATGACGAAAAATCCCACAGTGTTAAAAGTCAATAGTTTCTTTCCCCCCGTCTACAACACCAGCACTTATTTAAACGAGAAAATTAATTAGTTCACCCATAAAACAGCCCCATTAAAGTTTAAAGTTTTCAGATTTGATGGCTTTGATTGAGCATTTTGACTACATCTGCACCTCCCAACACACACGGCGCACGGCGCACATCCATGAAACTATAATTAATAGCCCGTCACAGCTGTCAGCAGCGCTCCCTCCTCATCTTTATGTAATATTACAAAAGCTTGCTCTGGCTTACCTCTCTGTCACGCTGAGCAGATCCAAATGGGAGCCGGCTAGTTTGACCTTCACCAAGAGCAGCCACAGAGGGAAAACTACTTAGTGTAACGAATATTCATAATAGTGTTGCTCAAAAAGGCCTCCTACAAGTCTACTGACAACAAGTCATGTCTGAAGCTGACTGGGCCTTTTTTTTGTGTGTGTTTCTAACATGTAGTGTGGCAACAAGTGGGCATTTTGACAGATCATAACAGGATGAACAGCTGTTGATAGCTTGTAGATAACAATTTGCAACAGAACTTGACAGTAATTATCTTCGGTAAATAAAAGATAAGAAAGTTTCTTTTTTATAAAATGTTTCACAAATCTGCTAACAATTAGCTGTTTGTTATCAGGACTACATGTAAGAATCCTTGACAATGAAACGCAGCAGTTGTCTTGAGTGGGTTTGATGATGCTCTTTATTGGTAAGAGGATTTTAAAGACTTAACTATAGTGCAAATTTTCTCATATTGTGTGTCATTAAAAGATGAGCAAACATTTCACGCAAATTGATTTAATTCCAAGTTTTTAACTGTCTAAAAACCCAAATAGAATTCATAATTATATAGGAAAAAAGTTTAATATCTATCTTAAAAGCTGAAATCAGAAGATGGATGCAATGTTTAGAAATCAGTCAACATTTTTGCAGATTATTAACTAATTCTTGAAAAATATTCATTCCAATGAAGCATAATTATTTGCTATGAAGCATTTCACATGCATTTGAAACGTGGGGTTTCAGTGCTGTTTCTCTGCTTGAGTCATTCTTTTCAAATGCTGCTAACAGTAAGGTGACAGAATTATTGGTGCTCCTCCTCATGAAAGCAGCAAACTTTGTGTTTTTGTTTTTTGCAATCATAATTTTTATGACTAAACCACATTTCAGTCAGTTTTGATTGTTATACATTTATCTTGTTAATGTGATGTAATAATGACATCACATAAACCATAAAAGCTGCTTGTATTCCTCATTAAGCTTGGACTTTGCAAATCAGTATATTTGCTTCTTTTTTCATTTAGATTAGATTTAGATATCATTGCTAGTTTTTACTTTATTTCCGTTGTTTTACTTGCAATTTCAAATGAAGTTTTAATCTAATCTAAAATCTACTTTGTTCAGAATCACGACAGACGTTTCCACAGATAAATTTTACTCCTGCTAATTGTCCATCAGTTTCTGATCTTGTGGTCACACAGCCAGTTAGTTATAACGCGTGTGGCTGTGATGAAGCCGGTCATGTGTGTCATCAGTATGCTTCACATATTCCCACCCTCACTTACTCCTCTCCATCAGAGGTCACTGCAGCTTGTTAGCTCAACACTCTGGAATAATTCCTGGCTTTTGTTGCTAAGCTGACAGAGCTGCTGAACTCGCTTCTCTCTGGTGTTTTGAATCATTTGGAACCACACACAACTGAGTGCTGCCATTTTGATGTTTCCACCACCGTCAGTTACCATTACAGAATGTATTACTCTTCTGCTGTGCTTTAATCATTCTGTGCTTTTGGATTATAAATGCATTTACTTTATGATGTCTATAAAGATCCTGATAGTGTTGCTGATAGGGTGGTGGAGGTTGGCTACTGATGAGACTCTAAATCTATCTGAGTTCCAAAATTCTGAGGAATGCTGTTTAGGGCTGCAATACCAATTTAATTTACATAACACCCACATTTTCCTCACTTTTCTGTCATTATGGCGCTCACAACACTCTGTGTGTGCTTTAGCATCTCAGCCACTAACATCTAAAATGAGTGTTGGCATCTTGGACAGTGAGAGTTCATTTGATTAGTCAAATAGTTTATCATACAAAGTATTCTGTATGTCCAAGCAGTCCTTTGCAGTAATGCACGTCAATACTGCAAAATATAATGATATAGAATCAGTATACAAAATAACACAGTCCAGATACAAAAGAAAACTTGATTTTATTGAGATTTCAGTTTTATAAATGCTGGTACAAATATGTTCCTATTCCTAAGTGATCTTTAAAGGAGACATATCATGCTTTTAAATCCTTTTTCACATTTAAATCACTCAGTTGGGGTCTATATAAAGTGGAACAGCAATGCTTTGTAGTTGGTAAGTCCCAACATTTTTTGGCAGTTCCATTGCAAATACTGTGAAGTAATAGTTCAGAAAACACCACTAAAAATGGAGAAAAATCAACGGGTTAGAAAATACGACCCCAGAATATAAACATATCTACACATCACCGGGAGAGACTAAATTCAAATATTCTGCTTCCTAGAGACTCCAAGTTCACAATAAAATGCATTTATCAGGTACAAAACTGGATTTTTCATATGTCCTCCTTAATTCAAAAACTAACCTTAATGTTTTAATGTAATGATTTTGGCTAATAATTAACTGGGATGTATGCCTAAAAATAACTGGCACATCTGCCAAGTTGGTTTTCTCAAAAGGTAGCAAACATTTTGTTTATTCTCTACAAAAAAACAAAGTTTGAGGACAAAAAAAGCAAAGTATGCAAATTTAATCAGAGCTATTGACTGAATAGTTAGTAAGCTGAAACTGCTCATGTCAGTGTTAAATCTAATTGTTTAGGCTTTGAATCAACTGCACAAACTGCTTTTTGAAGGCGCTGGTTAAACATTTCTTACCAGAGCTTCTCTGCAAACCAGTCATAAAAAATAAAACATATTGTAATTTTACTCATTTACAAATCAAAATCATCGAACCACTGCAGTACTGAGAGATATTTATGATCCCTTGGAGGTCCACTTTATTGACATTATACTACCAATCACCAAGGTAACTTTGACCTCTATGTCAATAGAAACCTCACATCCCATCCACCTTCTTCTACCTTCTGCAGCAGTAATCTAAACGTCTTGGTTAAGGTTTTGTGCTCCTCTATAAGCTCCACTCGGGAACACCCACGGGCTCACAGAGCTCCATTCACTAGCCTGGCCTGAGTTTTGGCTCACAATAAGTGTTGGTGTTGAAAGTGATGAAAAATTACAGTAAGTAGGACAACGGGCGATGTAACAAAAACATGAGCTGTGCTTCTAGTTTCCCCTCTGATAGTTATGAATACATGAGCACATTTATCCATATGCTTATGTATTAGGCGCCAAACAACAGAAGGAAAAAAAAGAAGGAAAAAAAAACAAGGCATTGTTTTAAAAAGATTGTAGCACTTTGGTGTTTGCCAAATGAGCCGTCCCGACTGTGGAGGGTAAAACACAAAGTCCCCTAAAGGATGAAACTCATTCAAGATCAGAGCAGTGTTTTTCCTGGACTGGAGAGATGACACACTGATCTGAAAATACTCAATCCTTTAATACCAAAAACACTAACAGTAGTTCCTGTGATAAAATGCTATGC